AGGCGCTTCTTACGGACGATGGGGTAGTGACCCGGTCGGGCGATGTGGGAAGGATGGTCTCCCTGATCAAAAGTGATCGGGGAGTCCGACCAGCTAAGGAAAGAGGGGACGACCGACTCAGCGCCACATGCCTCTCTGTAGCGTAACTTGTGCTAGCGCTTGGAGTGGATAGCATCGGATCCCCCAAAGATTATGAGTCATTCCTTGGGGTCAGGGAAGCCATCATCATCCTTGCCCGCCATGCCTCCTTTCTTGGTTGCCTCCTCCTTACCCTTCCCTTCCTTTGGCTTGCCGGCCTATGGCAGAAAGCGCTTGAGGAGCTCACAGTCCTTGTAGAGGTGCTTCACGGAGTAGGCGTGGTTGGTGCCTGGACTCTCCATGAGCTTGTCGAAGTGGTCGGGTTGGCCCTGCTAGGGCTGCTTGCCAGCACGATCGACTGCGGTGACCAAAGCTGGGCTGGCCGGTCAGTGCCGAGCCTTCTTGTTCTTCTTGCACGATCGATTGCCAGCAAGATGTCGAGCAGGTCGCGGGTGGTACGGGGTTTCAAACAACCGAGCTTGTAGATCAAGGACTCATAGGTTGTCCTAGAGAGGAAGGCGCTGATGACATCTGCGTCGATGACATCAGGAAGGGAGTTGCACCTCTTTAAGAACCTACGGATGTAATCCCATAGGGACTCGTTAGGCTCCTGCTGGCAGCTCTTGAGGTCCCAGGAATTCTCAGGACGGACATATGTCCCCTGGAAATTTCTGACGAAGACCCTCTTGAGATCCGCCCACTCATGGATGCTGTCGGGTGGGAGGAATTTGAGCCATGCTCAAACTTGCTCCCCACGCAGAAGGGGAGATACTGAATGGTGAAGTGGTCATCATCCACTCCTTCGGCTCGGTAGGCGAGCTAGAAGTCTTCGAGCCATATAACGGGGTACGTTTCCCCGACGTATCTGGTGATGTTGGTGGGTGGTCGGAAGCGCTGTGGGAACGGTGCTCTCTGGATGCAACGACCAAAGGCCTGTGGCCCTAAGCCATCTGAGCTGGGGCTCCGGTTGTTAGGTCGGCCACCATGCCTAGGATGCGTGTTCCTGCACTCCTCGATGGTAAGGCCAGGGCCCATGCCACCTGCTCTCGCCTCCACTTGATGGACGTCATCATCGTGCTGGGAATGGCATCAATTGTTGATGATGCTACGAGTGTCACGGTGTGGAGCTAGCACCGGGTCGGGCTGTGGTGCAGCCGGGGCCTCCTGCCCCACGCCCAGCAACTATAGTGGTGAGTGGATGAAGTGATTCGACTGGTGTGGCCCCATTCCCTCGGTGGGGCAAGAGGCCGCGAGCCGCTGTCACGATGCGGAGCTCTTCGCCTGTTGAACGGTGGCGGTTTCCACCAGCGCCCAAAGGTTTCGGTGGATATCCTGTTCATGGGGGTCGGTAGGCTCGGGAAGGCCGCGCAGAAGCATCGCTGCAGCAGCGATATTCTGGCCAGCCCGAGCAAACTATGGGGAATCGTTCCCTCTGTCTAGGATGTTACGCCCTCGTCGGGTTACGTGCACATGGCGAAGTGTGCTGCGTCGAGCACGCCAGCACAAGTGGCAGCTGACTTTGCCACCTTTGTAGTAACTCCTCGCCGTGCTCCTACGCACGTGCGAGGGCCTTCGCACGAGGGTCTAGAGGGGTGTGAGTCTGCAGAGATTCCGCTACCACCGGTGGCTGTCCCGGGGCGTCTGCCATAGCGCGCTCCTAGGACAGTGGGTGGCTAGGTGCCACGACATCACCGATGCTGGAGCCGTCGCTTTCGACATCGTCACCTACGAGGTCGTGAAAGGAGGTAGGAGCGTAGCCCGCCATCCCCATGAATTCGGATGTGAGAGGGGGCGGCGTCAGCATCCTTCGGAGCCCCCTCGTGTACGCGTCCCCAGGGGACGCAAAGCCATAGGGGAAATGGTCACACGACGGTCGTAGTGGGGACAATGCGGTCCCTCCGGAGAGTCGACGGAAGGTGTTAAATAATGAGTAAAGAACAACATATATGTTACTCACCGTAGAGTTTGAGCCCAGCATGGGATCAAGGTGAAGCGCGAGGGTTTCGATGTTGAGGTCATCGGGTGGCCTAGGGCTGATGAAGGGTGCTCCTCCTCTAGTGGACGCCAGGACGAGCGCCTCCTCATGGAGGTGGAGTACACTAAGCCGGTCAACGACAAAGTCCAGACTCCTAAAGAGGAAGGTCTGGAGTGGCACAAAGACGGGAGGAACCCACATCCCAACAGGTGGGAGCGTGGGGAACTCTAGCGAGCCAAAGCGAATCGTATCGCTTGAGCCCGCCATGACGAAGATGGTGGAAAGGTGGGCCATCCGATGACCAAAAGCGTGAATGCACGACGTCCTCCCCACGGACGACGCCAACTGTCAGTGCGAAAAGTGACCAATTAGTAAATATTTGTAGTTTTGCCGTGCGTTGTGATCGGATGTGGCCTAGCACTGAATGACACAAGATTTATACTGGTTCAGGCAAAGTGCCCTATGTCCAGTTTTAGTCGGTGGTGACTTTATTCCTGAGCCTAGGTGCTCGAAGTTTGCTGTGGGGTTACAAATGAGTAGGAATAAGAAGGGGGGTGTTAAAGGCCCGGTCGAACTCTGAACCAAAGGGCCGAGAGTGACGAGGGCTCTAACGTGTGCTAAGTATTGGAGCATATGCTCTGTGTAGCTTTAGAGTTCTGGAGGTATTGAGCTATTCGAGTTCTCAGGTCCTCGAGTGCTCGAATCATCTGGCTTCTCTTTTTTGAGCAGAGCTAGTGAGCCAGAGAGCTTTTTAGGAGAAAGCTCATCCTCTTTTATAGTCGAAGGGGATAGCCTTATAAGTCAGAGAAATAGAGAGAATGTATACGTGTGCTACCTAGTCTTGTTGCCCACGTTGTCGGGTACGAGACGGTCGTCAGCGCCCACAATACTGTTTATGTCTAGATGCATGTGGCAGGCTCTACCGTGTTCGCCTGGTATGGCAAACGTCGGCGCCTACAATACTGTTTGTGTTCTGACACGCTTGGAAGGTTGCAAAGTGCACATCTAGGATGCCTGGTGGCACCGTCCTACAGCTGTGCAGGGTATGACAGGATACGGTCCTCGGTATTGCGGTTTGACTTGAGCGTCATACCTTATCTGCTCCGTCTGATCCCCAGGCCCTCACCGAGCGGGCATCCCCGGTCGGTTGTTCCCAGTCGGCCCCGACCGTGTCGGTCGGGGAAGAGCCGCGAGAAGAGGTATGGCGTATCCTCGGTCGGAAAAGGAAGTTGGAGTCGGACTATGTCCCTACCTTGGCCAGGCCTTCCGGTCGGGGACCGGATCGTTCTTCCGGCCTATCATTATGTATCTGGGCCGGCCCGGAAGGCGCGCGTTGTCGCTACACCTTCTACTGGACCGAGTTTTTACAGAGAAGCGGGTCCATTAGGGACCCCGGGTTTATGAACCCAACACATTTAGTTTTTCAGAAAAAAGAAGGAAAGAAAACACTAGGTGATATACATACTATAGGAAACAATAGGCATACGAGATGGGCCCGGGCTGGCAAGTCCCAATTCCATTCCCGCGGTGGTTCGCTGGTTCTCAATCCAGCAAAGATCCGACCGAACGAGAGACTCTCCACCACACGCCTACGCCACATGTTGCTCCTTGCCTCTTTCTCTTACACGCCTACGCTACCGCTTTCTCCTTTTCTATTTTCTCCTTTTTCCTTGACATTTTTATTTAGAGCATACTGGTCGGATTCGTTCCGTGGCATGGCTACACCTGCATGAACGTTTGTTTTTTTCTTCCTTTTTTGTTTTTTCTACCCGTTTTTGCCTTTTTTGTTACATATTTATGTTATACTAAATAGTTATTTAACGTACATAGTTTTATTTTTCCTACTAATTTGTACATCTAAATTCTTGAATATAACTTATACGTCCAACTTTATATCTCATTTATTCATCAAGTTATATATCTAAGTGATACAAACAAGTTATTATAATATAAGTTATCAATGTTAACTTATACATATAAATTTGTTCATCTATAACTTATATTATACAAACAAGTTATTATAATATAAGTTATCATGTTGACTTGTACATATAAGTTTGTTAGTCTAACTTATAAATTATATAAACAAGTTATTATAATATAAGTTATCATGTGACTTGTACATATAAGTTTGTTCATCAAACTTATAAATCTAACTTTTTACATGTATGTCATCTAATTTTGTCACGTAGTACGTTATCTTATAAGTTATTCATATAACTTTGTCACGTAGTAAGTTATACGTTTAAGTTAGGTGGACGTCAAAATAGAAACTGAGCGTGTGCGTGAACAATTTTTTTAAAAAAAAAGGAAAGTTGCAGGAGCTGTTAGATCGTTTGTTCAATTTGAATGAGCCGAACGTTCGCGATTTAGTGGTGCTGCTGGCAAGTCCGGGGCCGGGAAGAAGCAGCAGAGAGGCAGCCAGCGGGTGGTGCTACAGGTGGTGCACATGCCGCCCCACTACGCCGCCACAGTTTCGTGTGGCCTTCCTTCCCCAACCCTGGTACGTGTAGCAATAGCAAACGTGTACACCTCTCTAGCTAGCTGCCCGTCCTCTGCCGCCGTTGCACTGCATCCATCCCGGACGGAACGACGACCGGTGGACCTGGGTCCAAAAGCGGCTCCGCTCCGCTCCGTTCCGTCCTCCACAGGTGGGCCCGCCGCACCACTCTCGCCGCGCCCGCCCGGCGTCCCGCCACGTGCCCCCTCTCCCCCACTCGCCGTGACGTGGGCCTCACCACCACCCGCCTGGCCGCGCCTCCATATATACCCCGCCCCGCCTCGCCCTCCCCTTCCTCCTCATCACTCTGCTCTCTTCTCTGCTAGCTAGCTGCCCCGGCCTCCTCCTCACACTCCATCCATCGCCAGCGCGGCCAGCAGCAGCGCACGCCAGCCAGTCCCCATCCTGTGTTCTAGCTAGCTGCTGTTCGATACTAGCTGCTACGCAATGCCTCCTAACGCCCACCAGGACGTGCACGGAAGCAGCGCCGGCCTCGCCATGACGACACCCCCTCCGGCCACGGCCACGGCGGCGTCCAAGATGGACTTCTTCTTGACCACCGTCTGCACGCCGCTCAACCTCCAGGTACGCACCTAGGCGCCTGCCGGCGACACGTCCAGACGCGCGGCGGCGTTGTGTCGCGTGCCGCCAAGGAATTCAATTGAACCGAACCCTTACACACCCATGTCGCCGTCGCTTGTCTGCAGTTCATCGACGTGTCGTACCGCGTCAACCAAACCGAGCGGCCGGCGTCGTCCTCCAAGGCACCACCCGGCGGCCGGATATCGGCGCACTCTGGCCGCGGCGCCGGCGCCGGCGCCCCTGCGTCAGAGGAGCGGACGATCCTCGAGGGCATCACCGGCGAGGCGCGCCCCGGGGAGGTGCTAGCGGTGCTAGGCCCATCGGGGAGCGGCAAGTCGACGCTGCTCTCGATCCTCGGCGGCCGTCTCGCTGGCCGCCACTCCGGCACCGTCCTCGCCGGCGGTCGCCCGCCGTCCCGCTTCGTGCAACGCCGCACAGGGTTCGTGGCGCAGGACGACGTGCTGCACCCGCACCTGACGGTCCGCGAGACGCTCACCTTCTGCGCGATGCTGCGGCTCCCCCGCTCCGCGCCCGCCGCCGTGAAGGTCGCCGCCGCCGAGGCAGTGATCGCGGAGCTCGGGCTGGGCGCGTGCGCCGACACCATCCTCGGGAACGCCTTCGTGCGGGGCGTGTCTGGCGGGGAGCGCAAGCGCGTCAGCATCGGGCACGAGCTGCTGCTGAACCCGAGCCTGCTGGTGCTGGACGAGCCCACGTCCGGGCTCGACTCCACCGCCGCGGCGAGGCTGGTGGCGACGCTGTCGGCGCTGGCGAGGAAAGGGCGGACGGTGGTCCTGTCCGTGCACCAGCCGTCGTCGCGGGTGTACCGCATGTTCGACTCCGTGCTGCTGCTCGCTGAGGGAAGCTGCCTTTACATTGGAGCTGGACGGGATGCCATGGACTACTTCGCGTCTGTTGGATTCGCGCCGGGGTTCCACGTCAACCCCGCCGACTTCATGCTCGACCTCGCAAATGGTGAGTCTTACGTACGCATGCAGGCTACCGTAGCTTCCTTGTTGGCCGCAACAAAACTTTGTTGCCTTGCATGTCTATCTGTTAATTGTTTCAGTTTCTATTCATTCCCAAAAAGACAAGTGAAAGAGCTATCCACCATACCTTCTTCATGATCCCTGATCCTGATCTACAACAGGTAGGCACACACACATATATACATATATTTCTGTCTTAATTAATCAAAAGATTATTAAGAGTTAAAACGCACATTTAGAGACATGAGAGAGGGTTACTAGATTGACCAAATCACTACAACAAAGGAAAGTGTGGCATGCAATTGAGTGATGGCACCAATTAATGGAAAGGGATATATATGGACATATGGTTGTGGAGTGCACCCAAGAAAGAGAGAGAGAGAGAGAGGAGAGAGAAAGGTCATGAGTGAGAAGGGAAAAAGAGTGGAGAGGGTGAGTAGTGCCTGCCATGCATCCCTAGTGTTCTCTCGCTTTTTTTTTCGCAAAGCACTTTATGGTTGAAAAATCACACACCTAAGGGACACCTGTCACTGATGGTGGGAATTAGGGCACTACCACTGTGGTCTGTGGCTGAACGTCATCATCATCCAACAGAAAAGCTACATCCCAGCCCGGTCCTGCGCCCGCTAATGACATGATAGCGGGTGCGGGCTATGGTTACTACCTACTCTCTTGTTATAAAAATTGCAAGTCATTTTGGCTTTTCTACGTATAGATTTTGCTACTTATTTAGATATTCATTATGTTTGATAAAAAAAAACATAGTATATGTACTAAAAAAAAGATAAAATTACTAATAATTTGGAACGAAAAAGAGAGTAATGCTGTTTCTCACGATCATGATAGGACTTGAACATCGTGATCCTTAGTACAAAGTTTCCGCGTTCCATGTCAAGACTCATATCCGCAAGGGACGTCTTGTAGTGGCTTCTCTGTGTGTTGATCACGCGGACTATCACCAAAGTTGAAAGCTCCCGTGTTCCATGTAGAGCGAGACTTGTATTGGAAGGATGCGTCTTGTAGTGCCTTCTATGTGTGTGTGGATTAGCACACGGACTATCACCACCAGGGGCATAGGCAACTCGTGAACATCGACAGGCACCACCATTTATAGGTTTATTGAACAGGCGATTGATTGTTAGTTAGTACACAAACTTTTACATACCGAGTTGAATACACAGACTGGTATATTTAACAGGCTATTTGGGCTTGCCCTTGCTTTTTTTTTCCATTCCCTAATGTGGATGGATCTCCGACACTCGTGGCAGCTTTTAAAGTTGGATCTGGTTCCTTTATTTGCCTCTTTTTTATTTTATACAATGCATGGTGGATGCACCATTAATTAACTAATTAGTTAGTTAGTTAGTTAATTAATTAATTAACGAGCAAATGATATATGCTCGGTCATTAGGGAGTGATCTGAGATATATGCAGGCGAGGCGACGTGGATGGATGGATATGCATGTATGCATGGTTGCAAGCTAGTGCCCTGTCTCACTAGACTTGGAAATATATGCTGCCCCTGCTAGCTCGATCATGCATGCCGGCTTTAGTAGACAGGAGGAATCATTTCTTGGTGCAAAATTGCCCTCTTTGGAGCTGATGAGGCCACTTTCCCTTATCCCCGTTTTGGCTTGGGGACACCTCACCTCTCTTTAATTCATACATTTGCTCAGTGCACCAGCACATCGAACCAAAGCTTGTGTAGTTGTGTGCATCTATCGATCACACCCATCTATCCAAAGGCCTAGCCTTTCATGTCAGCACTCACCACAGCTAAGCTTGCACGATGCCAATTTTGCTGCCTTGTGGCTCTGCACGCGGCTTCTTGATGAACCGCCCAATCGAAAATCGAACGGTCAGCGATAGACATGCACCAGAGGTTGCTCTTTTTTTTTCCTCTAAAACACATCTAGGATTTCAAATCACATTTTGGTGTCAATTATTGGAGCAGTGAAAAATACTCCCCTCTCTTTTTTTTTCCTGAATTGGACGGTAGAGGATGCGCTGCGTGTACAATTGTATATACACATATATCAAAAGAAAAGGGTAAATAATGGACTAAAGGGAACGTGTAACATCACATTATCTCGGTACTCCAAGAAAGCGATCATCACAAATTCTCGAGAGCACTAGCTAGTTCCTGTTCTTGATTCATTTTATATTGTAGGTGTATTAGCTATCATCTCATTGATAATGATCTTACCCATTATATATCTGACTGTTTTATATTTTCCTAATAATTATTTTAAACAGGTTTTGCTCAAGCAGACTACAATGTCACAGCAGAAGGCGGCAACAACGTGAAGCAATCGCTGATCTCCTCCTACAACAAGGTGCTGGCCCCAAGGGTGAAGGCCTCCATCAACGCCGGCGCCGCTGCAGAGCACGTACAAAACGGCGCCGGCGAATCGCTGCCGCCGATGGACAGCTGCAGCGGGTCCGGCACGAGCTGGTGCAACCAGTTCACGATCCTGCTCAGGCGCAGCCTCAAGGAGCGTCGGCAAGAGACGTTCACGTCGCTGCGCATCTTCCAGATCATGGCCCCCGCGCTGATCGCGGGCGCCATGTGGTGGCGGTCCACGCCGCTGGCGGTGCAGGACCGGCTGGGCCTGCTTTTCTTCGTCTCCATCTTCTGGGGTGTCTTCGCCTCCTTCAACGCCGTGTTCGCCTTCCCGCAGGAGCGGCCGGTCCTCGCCCGCGAGCGCGCGTCGGGGATGTACGCGCTCTCCTCCTACTTCATGTCGCGCATGGCGGGGGACCTGCCCATGGAGCTCGCCCTGCCCACGGCGTTCACCGTCGTGGTGTACCTCATGGCCGCGCTCAACCCTTCCCCCGCCGCGTTCGCGCTCACGCTGGCCGTGATACTGGGCTACGTGCTCGTCGCCGAGGGCCTGGGACTCGCCGTGGGCGCCGTCATGATGGACGCCAAGCGCGCGTCCACGCTGGTGACGGTGGTCATGCTGGCGTACCTCCTCACCGGCGGGTTCTACGTCCACAACGTGCCGGGGTTCATGGTGTGGGCCAAGTACACGTCCTTCACCTACTACTGCTACCGCCTGCTCATCGCCGTGCAGTACGGCGGGCACCTCAAGCGCCTGCTCCCGCCCGAGGCCGTCGACGGCGAGGCCGGGCCGGGCGCATGCGTCGCCGCGCTCGTTGTCATGTTCTTCGGCTATCGGCTGCTGGCGTACCTCGCGCTGTGCCGCGTCAGGAATTGATAGATCGATTTGATGATCTGACCCCCGGCGTCAGCTGCTGCTGTAGGTAGCTTGCTAGGGACGTGTCCATTAACTATTCCGGCTGGCCGGCCGGTAACATCAAACGCTCCGCCCGCCGCGCGCGGCCAAACCGACCGGGATCCGTGGCTCCGGAGGGCCGGCGGGCGTCGAAGGAGATGACTTGACCAAATGTCGCGGTTGTTGTTAGCGTCGCAGGGGATCGACGAGGAGGTCGTCTTCTTCGTTCTCCCGCGATTTGTTTTTTATTTTTCCCTTTCTCTCTTACCTACAAGTTTGGTGGTCAACAATGTGCCATCGATCGAGAATCGAGATGCCTTGTTTGCAAGTGTATTATATATTGATCAATCAGCGAGTGTAAGCTCAAGCTGTGAGAGCTGATTTATTTGGGCTTCTTGATCTGGCAATGATGAATTGATAATGGGTTTGATTTAAAGTTTTAAAATTGAAGTGAATGTACATGCATAACGATTACAATTTACAAGATTGACAGCGACCGATTCCGGCGTGAAACCAAATGAGCTGAACGCCTCGTCAAGAAACCCTGGTTCAGCGTTTGGTGCGAAAGCTGAAAGCCATTGTTCTCTTCTACCATGTTCTATCAAGCTTTTGGTGCCACAAACTTTTTTTTTTTTTTTTTGCAACGCCTGGATTCATAGAACGAACTCGATTTCACGTTCTATGCCATGCACCAACCGAATGTGCTGCAAGGTTAGGTCAGTCTCAGTGAAGAGTTTCATAGTGTTGTTTCCAAGAATGCCACATCAAATGAAATGCGATGAAACTTGAATTAAACAACCACTCTCAATGCATAGTTTATTCTAACCATGACTCATTGTGAGTTGGTAATTGTGTCAGGAGAGTTTTATCCCCCATAAAACCCATTTCTTCTCTCTCTTCTTAAATATGGTGCCACATCATAAAAAAATGCCTACATGGCATCTTATTAAATGCGGATGAAACTGACATGAAACTCCCACAGAGGCCGGTCTTATAGCCACGCTCTAGATTCTTGCAAGGTACTTTTGACAGAGGAATCAAATTAGCTGCTGCTCTGCTTGGACTCGCAACAAAAACCATGTGAAATTTGATTGATGCATGAGTTCGAAACAGGCGGTGAGATGCAGGCAGTGGAGTGTTGAGCTGACGACGACATGTGTGTTGAGCAGCTGCTGGAGAGATTCCAGCTGAGTTGGTAAAGTCCTCGCAGCAGTTGAGCTTCCTGACATGGCAGATACTTGTTCTTCACCTCTGCCTCTGCATGCATAACAGCATAAGTGCTTCTGGGCTGTGTGCATCATTGCACGTCATTTATCCTAGGCCGGGCTGGGTGATTACGACGGCCCATCATTGAGACTCGACTGTGCTCGCCTGTTTCCAAGGACTAGCCCACGAAGGAATTCCGCGTTAGTGTAATCGGAAAAAAAAAAACACTACGCTTTCCTCAAAAAAAAAAGGAAAAAAGCCCTACGCACACGTGTAATGTTAGAGGGAAAAAATCCTTTTGACCCTCAACTATCAAGGTCTTTCATCTATAAAACTAATTTTTTATTCCTTAATTTTTAAAACAATTTGTTTTTACACCTTTACACGGTTTTAGGACATGTTTGATAACACGAGCTAATTGTTAGCTAGCTAATTTTAGCTCAAATTAGCTCCAGTGTACCTAAATAGGAGGACTAATTTTTTTAACCAAGTCTTCGAATAGCTGTTAGCCAAACTAGCTAGGGATGAAAACGGTCAGAAAACCTTTTAATCGTTTTCTACTTTTATATTTGAATACGAAAACAAAAGCGAAAGCGGTAAAACCAGACACGAAAACAAATATGAACTTACGGAATATCAAGAATTTCGAAAATGAACACATTCAAGCGGAATTATGTCGAACACGGTCGATATACGAAAAATTAATACGAAATATTGACCAGTAGAACCGAGAGCGTAACAATTAACAAGTGCATGACCAAGTGAATAACAATTAACATATCCTACAACTTTCATAAAAATATCTCCATTTGACACCATATAAGAAAGATATGATTTTTCTAATGCAGCAAGCGCTTCTACGTGATTAATATATTACTGAAATTTTGTTTAATTTTTTTGAACATTGTAAACACCTCAAATGAAAAAACTAAAAACTAGAAACGTGTAGATCTCGTCGAGAGCTACAATGTTTAAATAAAATCATCTTCATTCGAGATCGTATGAAAAAATACAAAAAAAATTCTAAAGCTGGACTTCCAGTGGGCCAAATTCGGTTTAAACCAAATTTCGAATTCAGGATATTCCGACTCAAAAGTAGAAAAGTAGAAAACGTTTAGAAAACGTCTAAACCGTTTTCGTTCCATTCCAAATTTGGTGTTCCAAATTTCAAACCGAATTCGAATTTGTCCGAAAATCCGAATTGGATAGGATCAAATGTAGAAAACGATGCGGTTCAGTACAGGATATTTCCGTACCATTTTCATTCCTTCTAACCATACCAAATTTATGCTAGTTTTTAGCCCAACTAGTAACTAGCCATGTGTATCAAACATGCCCTCTATAACGGTGTTTGCTGACGGAATATGGCTCGCATGTCTGTTGGACCAAGAAAACTCCACAAAGGATATTGTTTTAAATTGTTATAATCTAGTAAACATATTCATAAGTTGGAACGAAAGAAAACAAATTATCAAATTTAAAACGAGAATGAATATCTATTCATGTTTTATCATTTTCATAAAAATAAAGGCTATGAATTTTTAATGATGTATTGGTAATATTATGACAATGTAATATTAAGTAGGTATTAAATTGAAATGCATTCTTAAATTTTTTGCTTTCATTGTAAGGCACGTAAATATTTACTTGTAAATACTCCTTCCATTCCAAATTGAAAGTCGCTCTCGCTTTTCCAGTTACATGGCTCCTGGCTTTTGCTACCTACTTAGATACACGTTATGTCAGATACATAGTACAAGCCATTGTATATAGAAAATACATAACAACTTCCAATTTCGAATGAAGGGAGTAAATTTATTTTTCATACTATGTTAGAGTTAAAGGGCCTGTTCGCTGGTTGGTGCTGGTGTTGGTTTGGGCTGGCTGGTGCTGGTTTTTTGTAAGAGGAAAATACTGTTGGCTAGCTGGTTTGGGCTGACTGAAACCAACAAACGAACATGCTGAAATATCAAGTTCTGTGATGTCATTTGTGTATCCATAAAAATATGTAATTCTAATCTATGATTAAAATCAACAATGAGTTCTGTAACATCCTTTGAGGATCCGTCCGTCGATGATTATGGCAGAGACCTCTTTTGATTTTTCGATGATTATGCCTTGTTTGCAAGTGTATTATATATTGATCAATCAGCGAGTGTAAGCTCAAGCTGTGAGAGCTGATTTGGTCTTCTTGATCTGGTGATGACGAATTGATAATGGCCGGGTTTGATTAAAAGCTTTAAAATTCAAGTGAATGCACGTGCATAAGGATTAAAGATTACAATTTGAAGTTGACGGCGGCCGAGTCCGCGGCATGATTAGGAGACCAAACGAGCTGAAGTGCTGAGCGTACGCCTTTTTATTAGATGAAAGGTTTCCCCTGCTTTATTTGCATAAAGCAATCAAGAACATTCAGCACAGCGTAACGGCGCGCCCGCCAGAGTTAACAGTCAAAGCATAGAAAGCCTGACTGTCTTTGGTCTTCAATAATCATATTGTGAAGAATAATACAAGCTTGCATGATTTGACCAACATCTACCCTTTTCCACTTACGTGTTGGACGATCAACAATGTTAAATCGAGATTGCAACACCCCAAATGCACGCTCGATATCTTTCCTTGCACTTTCTTACGCTTGTGCATAAACTGTGTCCTTATCACTTTGGGGGGCTGCTATCGACTTCACAAAGGCAACCCACTGTGGATATATTCCGTCGGCGAGATAGTAACCATTATTATATTGTTTTCCATTGACAGCAAAATGCACTTGAGTTGCTCCACCTTTCAATGCTTGTATGAACAAAGGCGAGTGGTTCAGTACATTGATGTCATTGTTAGCACCAGCAACACCAAAGTAACTATAAGATATCCGAAGATAATGTGTAGCAACAGCCTCAAGAATTATAGTGGGAGCATGCTTGTGACGGCTGGTGTATTGTCCTTTCCATGCAACCGGACAATTTTTCCACTCCCAGTGCATCCAATCAATGCTTTCTAGCATACCAGGAAACCACGAGCCTCATTGAATTCTAGTACGCGCTCTGTTTCCTCAACTGTAGGCGGGCGTAGAAACTCTGGTCCAAATGTTTCAATCACTCCTCGAGCAAACATTCCTAAGCCGTACTTTTGCCAATCTTTAGGTTCTCATCAAGTGAATCTGCAGGGGTGCCGTATGCTAGCATACGCATCGCTGATGTACACTTGATCAGTGGCGAGAGTCCTTCTCGGTTAGTGGCATCTGTCCTTTGAGTGAAATATGGAGACCATGCACCTAGGGCAGTCACGATCTGTAGAAAGTGACTTTCTCATTCGAAATCTTGTGCGAAACATCAAGTCCGTGTACACAGGTAACTCAGAAGTACTGGGACACAAGCTCCTCATGATCGCTGAATATGTACAGCCTAGGTTTGCTTCGACGACAAGACGATTCTGCTCCATGTTGCTCCTTCAACTTTGCCACGGTACTTGCAGCGACAGAATCAAAGGCTTCTTGCTCGGCCATAAAATCTTCGTACACCTTGTCAAGGTCTGATGATTGCAATGACTCATCTGAATCATCGAATTCATCTGAGGCAGATGAACCTTCTTGATGCGACATATTTTTGCTGGCTATATCTTGGGCCTTTTGCTCTTGTTCGTGGCACACGATTATACATAATTAAGATTTGACACCCGTCATGATTTATAGGGCGTCAGCACAACAGAAAGATATTTCAAGTCCTACAGATATACGCCAAAGTCCAAATCCAACTACCTACCAAACCAATCATGACTCA